TTCCCCTTACCCCCCCTCCCCCCCCCCCAACAAACAATCTAACAAAACCCTTCCCCTCGCCCTTCCCCAAATCAAAAACAACACACCCCTCCCCCTTCTTCTCCCCAATTATTTTTTTTAACTCAACAAAATCTCCTCCCCTTCTCCCTCTTCTCTACTCAACCACTACCCTAACTCCATTCCTCACAAGATCTTCAAGTAAGTAACATGCTTCTACTTTCTTTTTTTTAGTTTTTTTTTTAATTTTTTTCATTCTTTTTCTCTTCTATTGTAAGTGTAGGATAGTAGAAGTTATAGGTACTCTTATCTTTGTTTTTGATTGTTGGTATATATGTTTGTATGTGAGGATATTAGATTTGGTTGGGTTGGGGAAGACATTGTTGAGTTTGTGAATAATGGAAGTTTAATTGGGTCTTTGGGTACATAGGGGGGCATATGCACAGTAAGTGTTTGTTGAATTGCCACAATGAGTTTTTAGTATAAATTATGACCAATGATGCGAGTGAAGTCTGAGTAACCACCCTTGGGTCACATATTCCCTCAATTGTTGATAGTGGTGGTTGTTGTGTAGGTACCATGAGATCTTCAAAGAAGAGACGCACTACCGGTGCCTCATTAAGTGGTCATGGAAGCTCGTCCCGGGCATGGGCACCAGCCAGTTCAGCTCAGTTTGATCGAACCAGTTTTGTCTCCAGAGCTGCCCAAAACCGTTTCATTTGAAGGCTATTAGAAAGCCTAAACCGGAAAGGGGAGTTGACAGGGGATCCCTCCAAGCGAGTGCCCCAATATGTATTGGTAGTTGATTAGGCGCAGGATGGACATTTTCTTCAAAGAGCCGGAGGAGGGTAACTTGATGATTGTTAGGGAACTCTATGCCAACCGCTCTGAACACGAGGAGCACATTTGCACTGTGCGACAAAAGAGGGTGAATGCCTCGGTAGAAGACATCGGGAGAGTGTATCGATTGCCTGTATTCACTGGGGAGGTGGATTACTATGATACTTACCGGCGAGAACCAAATAATTGGCACATGTTTTTCAGAACTATATGTGTACCAGACAAAGAGGTAGTGTGGGTTGTACCGGGATCGAAGTTGCACTCAGCCTCACACACCTTTGAAGGAAAGTGTTGGTTTTACATCATCGATAATCGACTGCTGCCGTCCCACAACACCACATAGGTAAATGGTCCAAGAGGTGCTTTGATCTGGTGCTTCGTGAATGGCCAAGATTTTGATGTGGCCAAGGTTATTCAATCTGAGATATTCATCCGTTCAACACTGAGGAGGTATGGTTCTTCTTCCCATCTCCGGTCACTAGATTGTGCCGGGTCGTAGGGGTGCCAGAG